AATGTTTTACGAACTTAGAATTTTTGGCGATTGAGGGATCATTTAGACAAATGCCAATAGCTTTCATCAAGCAAATAATCGAAACAAGTGGTGATAATCGCCAGTATCTTTTAATTCTAGAAACTTATTTCTTATATACTTCTGATGAAGGAAAAACCATAGTTGCGGAGTTATTGCCGTTTGTACTTTTGTACTCTCCGAATTTACGAGCTCTAAGCTTAGGCGAGTTAAGTTTGGAACAACTTTTGTCTTTACCAGACTATTGCCCAAAACTCGAGCATATCGATTTTTATATTTTGAGTGTAGAAGAATTGACTAGTTTGAAACAGTCACTTCCACCACAAATCAATTCTCTCACAATTCATGGTGCGACACTCACAAACTTAGGCAAATATTTTACTGGATTCCGTGCAAATTTTCTGGAAAATTTTCCCTTTCATGTAAAGTATCTTTCTCTCTTTGTCGGCATTGACAACGAAGACGAGGTTAATTATATAAAAGCTAAAACCGAAAACTATGGTATCAAATTTATCAAGGAGCCTTTACATGATAGTAAATATTTATTTACTTTTTATTTTATGTACTTTAAAAGTTTTATTCACATTTTTGCTGTACTTTACAGGAATTTGTCCAAATTATTTCCCGCGATTTTAAAGGAATACTAAGATCATGTACATGTACGTAGTAATTTCTTGATTTTGCACTAATTTACATATGTACATGTAATAACGATAAATGTTATCAATCAGATCATCAGACACATGTGCTATGCCACTCAACATTCTCGTTACGGTTTTATGTCCTCTTAATTCTAAATTAATTTCAATATTCTTAACGTTAAAAAACTGAACAGAAGGCTCAACTAAACGTTAAGAATGTCGAAGTATACATGTAGATATATTAAATTGAATATGCTTTTGTATACTATCGATATTCATTTTTGGTTTAATTCATTGCTTAATAAAATAAATTCAAATTGTGATACACAATAAAGACCTTATTATGACTAAAAATACTAAAGAAAGAAGGCATGCCTGCTACAAAAATTGCACATATTCTTGACAATCATATCAAGAATCGTATCAACCGATTAAATTAAACAACAATAAGCGAGATGTCCAAACACTTTCATCTAATCAAATATCCAAAAGTGTCCCGATAAAATTCGAAAAAATGATGTCCAATTCCATATTGCATGTAAAAAAAATAACTGATGAAATAAATCAATGGCTATTAGCGCTTTCAAAAAAAATCTAAATAATTTAAAAAAAATAAAATTATTTTTTAATAAAATTATAAACTTTAATAAAGAGAAATTTCAAGTTTTACTATATAATATTAAATAAAAATACAATAAAATCGAATTTTTCTCTATGTTAAAGTTATAAATTTATTAATAAACTTTTTTCTATATTTTATTATTTATAATTTATATTTTAATTATAAAAATTATATCAAATTTTATATTATAATTAGAATAACTTTCTGAAAAAGATTTATCAAATTATAGATTATAAACTTTTTTTTTTAGTAAGATTAAAGACTTTATAAATTTAGTAATAAAGTTGATTCCCTGATACATTACTTTTGACAGTCACTGTATTATTGTATTTATTGATACTTTATTTTGTGGTTATTTTTATTTATATTTGAATATTATTATTATTATTTTAATTTTGAACGTTTTATTTTTATAAATTTATATTAGATATGGATTTTTTGCGATTTGCTAAATTAAATTTTTCCTGAGAAAAATTTTTTAACATATTTAACAAAATATAATATTAAATATAAATATACACAAAAAAATTAATATAAATTATTCAGAATTTATAAATAATTTATCTAAATTTAACATATAATTAATATGCTCTGTTATTCCAATTAATAACTATATCAAAAATCAAATAACCGAATAATCAAATCATCAAAGAATAAAAGAGTCAAACGCGATTAATCGACTTTGTATGGCCAAAGCAGTAAAGCTTCGATTTTGTTAAGCACAAAAAAAATAAAGGTTATCAATTTCGTTATGACACAAGAGAAATAAAAACTGAAATTAGCTGTTAGCTAGGAGTTAAAATAAATATATTCTTTAGTTATTTTTCTTCAAAACATATTTGCTTTTCTCTCAGATGTTCGAGTGCTATCCCTTATATATAATTTGCTCATTAAATTACAGATCGTTAGTTACATACAAAATTCGCGGGTCTACAGTACAAATTATGAATTATGTAAGAATTTTTACAAAAGGAGTGTGGCTATGCTTCGAGATAAGGTATATATTAAAAATTTAATGTAATGATAATAAAAAATAAAATATCGTCATTTTGTAAAATACAAAGTGTGAATTTGTGTAAGAATGTAAAAAATTTTTGTACATGATTTTTGTTCAGGTGATACGGGACAATAGGAATAATTATTTCGTGACACATTACTATTTAAGGAGACCTTACCAGAATTTTCGTAATCACTGGGGATCACGAAGGAAGGGAAAAAACTGAAATCATTGTGAATTTCTTCAAATGATAATCAGAATCTCGGAATTATGGTGCCCAAGACTCTTTTCGATTGGAGAGTTACAAAGAGATTATACCAGTACTAAAAGATAGATATACATGTACATGTATCTCGTTTGTTTCACTATCATTTCAACCAATTCACGAATTTTATCCAGTGAACTCAAAGATGGAACCGAATACTCATGATTGTAGTAATGTATGAATTTTCAAGAGAATAGATACCGCGATAAACGTTTTAGTGTAATTCTCATGATTGTAGTAAATGTACTCGTTGTAAAACATATTATATCTCTGCGTTGACTGCTTCTTTTAATACAAACAAATTTATAATGATGAATTCTCTAGCGGAAACAAAGATATCGACAAGCCAATAAAAGAATGCAACAAAATTAAAAAAATATGAATTATTCGAATGGATTCCTTTTGAAAGATTTACCAATGTTGAATATCTTGCAAAAGGAGGTTTTGGGACAATTTATAAGGCAACCTGGTTGGATGGTCCATTGGATAGTATTTCCAAATGGGGTCATGAAGTAAATCAATTTATACGAAGAAGAGAAAATACATTTGTACGATATAGAGAAAGTGATGTTAATTTGAAATCATTACACAATTCAAAGCAAATTACTCAAGAGTTTACACACGAGGTAAAAATATTTTTTTAAATGAATTTGACACTTTGTTTTCTAATACAATCAAATTTTTCAAAAATAATTCAGAGCGCGCTTAAATGTAATTGGGATGCTGCTTATATTAAATATTATCGTTATGGACTAACTAAAAATCCGGTTACAAATGAATATTCGATAGTGATGACTAATGCAGAAGATGGTGATCTCCGTAAATATATTAATTCAAACTACGAAAAATTAGGTCACAAATTAGAAGATTTATTTGAAATCTGATAATCAGAAATGGGTGCATTGTGACTTTCATCCTGGAAATATAATATTAGTGCGTAATTATTCCTAAATTGCGATTTTGGACTTACTAGACCAACAGAAGTTGAAAATCTAAACAAGAAATTTATGGAGTACTTCCTTATATGAGTCCAGAGTTACTAAGTGGAAAGCCATACACTACCGCTGCAGATATTTATAGCAGTTGTAACTGGTGAACGACCATTTTATACTGTTCTCGCAATATGTGTAATTTTAGTCAAAGATTTCATTTCAAAGAATCTGTTTATTAGATAAATTGTGCTTCTTTGAGTAAATTTTTTTAGTAAGACCAATTAATCTTTTCTTCACTATTAATAATTTCGATTTAATTCACAGAGACAGTGTATCAAGTATATTACACCAATATGATCTATTGAATTTCAAAGAAGAATAGGTTTAATAGCTTTAAGAAGATTTTAGACTATGTTGAAGAGTTTCTTTACAATACTTTAAAGCTTTCTGTGCCAGTAACTATAACTATTGAGGATGGTCAAGATATTATGAAGAAGAATTTGAATAATGAGAAAGGGATTACACAACTAATAGTTATTAATTATTTAATTATAGACTAATTTTAAGAATTACAAGTTATTTCACAGTCGAAGTTCAATAATACAAGCAGCAAAAAGATAAATCTCTCTAATTACTTAGTTCTTTATTATAATTTATCTTGATTAAAATTTAAGAGCATCTATATTTATACATTTTAATTGGATATATATTCATACTATATTAATGAACTATTTTACTTTTTACAGCAATCAAAATGATAAAAAAACACCATACAAAATACTATACAACTTAGTATACAAAAGCGTGGACCAAAGTGTATACAAAACATTGTACAAAATATATACATAAGTATATACAAATTTTCTTTGATTATTGTAATAAAAAAAGTAAATAAAAGCAAATGAATGTATTTTACTCAGTCGATCCCAAGTAAAATTTTTATTAGAACATAAAATAATGAAAAGAATGAAATTAAATGAAACTCTATATATATTATTATTAAGTACTATTAAGAGTGTTCGAAGTACATAAGTAAGGGCTATTGTTAGATAAGTGTTTTCGCTTTTTATGATTATCAATATTATTATCACTACATGTATATTTTTTATTAGTTTCTGATTAGCGTTAGTTCCAGATAGCTTGAGCTGATTACCTGCAGAGATCACGTCAAAGGAATCATGAATTTAGATCGTAATTAGGGAAACTTTAAAACCAAAGTAACAATGTGTAAGTAATTTTACGAGATGTGAGAAATATACAAGATATGCATTTGCTTTTTTCTGTAATTTATATGTTATTTGCATCTGGAGAGCATATGGAATTTATGAGATGCACATGTAATATATAAGCTATGCATTGCTTTTTTCTGTAAGTTATACGTTATTTATGTCTGGAAAGCTATATGAATTTGTACAGAAAACGGGCTCAATTGCATACGGAATTAATTCCTGACACATTGCTGAAAAATTGCTTATGCGTCACGTAAAATCTCTGACATATTTTCCTGAGCATTGCCAATCAGAATTCTTGCCGATTAAATCAAATAAAGTGAATTGTAATCATGCCAGATTATTACATATATCCTATAAATTGATTCATCTGAAACTAAATTTTTACCATAAGGTGCTCTTATAGTACCACTCTCCTGTAAACTTAAAAATTAATCTAACTTCATAAGGCTAATTAAAGTAGTACTGAAGTTGCACTATGAATTTAAATTTATTTATTTGCAAGACAAATATTAGTTCTACTAAAGAAGGAGGATTAATTAAAATTAAAGTTTTTACAGTGAAGGATATTGTAGTAAAATATACCGGTTCTTAGTATATGCATTCATCTAGGTTTAATCGATAGCATGTCAGTAATTTCGAATGATCATGAACATACAAACCAACATTTCGCTTATTATAATATATGATAACATTAAAAAAGACCATGCGCAATGATCGGTTAGAAATTATGATGATTTTTTCAAGTCTCTTGGATAAACATATTTAAAAAGATATCCCCCTTTCAATATGAGCCTTGACTAAAAAATGAAGTCAAAAAGGTCTTAAGATTTCATATGTCTTTTCAAGTCATTTAGAAATTGATGTACAAAAATCTTCTAAAAGCAATTCCATTGTTTGCTGACCTTCATAGAACAACATCTTAATTATGACTGGAAGTAGACCTTATT